GCAGGGCATTCTCAGGGAGTAGTCATCTCCAGTTCCTTATGTGAAAGAGATGCTATATGAAAACGTTTGGTTGAAATACGAATGGCATCATGTGAATTGACATTTTGACAAAGGATGAATTATGGATCAAAATGGGGAAACTATGTAAAAGTCTGCATTTCCACCCTCTCTTTTCAGTTATGGTAAATGGAGTTGCTCATGGAATTTTCAAGAGCACAAGAGGTAGAAGGCAAGGGAGTCCACTCTCCCATTCTTAATTATCTGTATTACGGAAGCTTTAAGCAAAATAGTTAAGAGGGCTGAATCAGGCGGTTTCCTTGAAGGTTTTTGGTGGGGGTTGAAAGGGTAGAGGTACCTTTGTTGCAGTTTGCATATGACACTTCATTTTTATACAATGCTTCAGAAGAGCAGATGGAGTATATTATGGCAATTGATGACTTCAAGTTGTGTCAAGTCTACATATTAATGCTAATAAAAGTGAGTTAATGGCAGAGAGGTAAGTGCAAGAATTAGGCCAATGGACAGAGGAATGGAGCTGTAAAGTAGGGAACTTGCCTACAAAATTTTGGGGCATGCAGTTAGGGGCAAAATGCAACTCAAAATCTATACGAAAACCAATTCCAAAAAGGGTGGTGGGGAAGAGACAGGCAGTTTGGAAAACCAGATAGCCATCAAATGGATGCAAGCCCACTCTTCTAAGGAGAGTCTTATCTTCTATTCTTCTGCATCTAATATCCCTTTATCCAATTGCAGCAGTTATTGCAGCAACCATAGAGAAATGAAGTCTTTCTTATGGAGGGGGTGGACAGAGAAGAAGAAGTATCTTGTTAATTGTGGTAAATTTGGAGGTCTAGGGGTAAAAAGATTGAGGGAGGTGAATAAAGCTCTCTTAGGCAAATGGTTTTAGGTTTGGAGAACAGTAGGGAGTAGTCGTATAAGACTACAATCAGCCTAGGGTTTTGAACAGATAAAAAAAGGAAAAGATAAGAGGAGAGGAGAAGAGAAGTAGAGAGATGGAGAAGGAGAACTTGTAGAGAGGTTCTGAGAAAAGAGAGAGTGGTTGGTGTGTGTTAAACAGCCGCCCCAACTCCTTAATTTATATACATAGTTTCCTAATTGTAAAAGAACTTTAATGCTTACATGGCAATAAAAGAAAAGGTCAAAATAAAACAAATCCTAGATAAGATAGGATAAAACTTATCCTACTAGGAAAGCTGATCCTAATCAATTAAATCTAAGTACATCTCAGGGTGCCACACGAGTACTCTTAATGTGGGGTCCACAGTTTCCTACATAGGGTGCATTATGGAAGAGGGTAATTCAAGATAAATATGGGATGAAAAATTTAGGGTGGGAGACTGGAGCAGCTTCTCAACCTTATAGTTGATCTGTTTGGAAAGGAATTGAACAAATGCAGAGCTTGTTTAGTAAAGATATGAGCTACAAGGTACGAAATGGGCAGAAAGTCGAGTTTTGGAAGGATTGTTGATGTGGTACAGACCTCTAATGCAGAGCTTGATTATTAAAGGTGTGAGCTACAAGGTACGAAATGGGCAGAAAGTCAAGTATTGCCGATGTAGTGGCAGGCCCTATATCTCCAAAACTACTTGCCTAATAAGGCAATTTGAAGATTCTCAGATTTTACACCCTCAGCTTACCCTCCTTCATTGAACTATGAACCTTCCTCCAATTCACCAAGTGAAACTTAGGTCCTCCTTCCAACCTCTCCACATGAAGTCCCACATTTTTTTCTCCAACTCCTTTGCCACTTCTGTAGGAATGGGGAAGAGGGAGAGATAGTATGCGTGATTGTGAAAGACTGCCAATATACTCTTAATTAGGGTTAGTTTGCCCCTATTTAACAGATACCTTGTCTTACGAGAAGCCAGCTTTTTGTCAACACATTCCAATAACAGGTCCCAATTCTTTTTAGAGGTCCATCTACCTCCAAGAGGTAGGCCCAAAAAACTGGAAGGCATACATCCAATTTTGCATCCAAGGATGTCAGCTGACATCTCAACATTCGGTACCTCACCCAAAGCACAAACATCACTTTTTCAGCACGTTTAATTTCTACCCCAAGACACCCTTAAATTAGATCAAGAGAATCTTGATAATGTTCAGATGTTCAACTGAGGCATCACAAAAGAATAATGTGCCATCTCCAAATTGTAGAAGAGTAATTTTTCCACTCTCGCTATCCACCTCAAAACCTCTTATGACACCTCCCTACATTGCCCTATTCATTAGTCTATTGCTTCCATGACACATAAACCCAACCTACCAGATTGCCACTCTTGCTAGCAAGTACACTATGGTCAGACATTTGGATGGGACTTTAGGGAAGTACCATCTATGTAAAATGTTTGTATAATAAGGAAGAGAATTATTATGCCTCATTATGAGTTGTCACGGTTGAAAATGGGTAGAGGGTGAGGTTTCGGAAGGTTGAGTAGTGTGAAGTTAGGAAGCTGTGCAAATAGTTTTCCAGCATCCAAGGGACTTGGACAAGGTGACCTGCTTTCTCCCTTGTTTACCCCTATAGCTGATGTTCCTAGTAGATTAATCTCGAGGGAAGATAGGCTACAGCAGATCAAGGGAGGTAGAGTTGGGAGAGATAATGTTGTAATCACTCATTTACAGTTTGTTGACAACATTATTCTGTTTTGTGATGAAGGATGCAGTGAGTTACAAATTTAAGACTGATAGTGGAGCTTTTTGAGAAGATACCAAATCTGATAATAAATATTACCAAAGTTGCTTAGCAAGGATCATTTGGTTTTAAGTGTAGTGTGTAGAAGCAAAAATCAAGGAGGGTTGGATATAAGGAATGTAGGGAAGAAGAACATGCTTTATTAGGGTAATGGTTGTTGAGATTGCGCCCTTGGAAAGGGACAAGTTATGGCAAAAAGTGGTGGTAAGAAATCATGGGTGTTTGATGTCCTTTTCTCAATGGTTTTGATTGAGATWTAGGCTTTAGAAGGAGTATTAGAAATTTAGAACTTCCTAGAGCAATCAATCTTTGAAACATTCTAGAAAGTGTGTTCACGGATCCCTTTTAGTCTGATAGTTGTATTTGGACTCCTACGTCCATGTGCTTCTGTCTTCAAGCTCTACAACCTTTTTCCTATGGAAAAGGTTTGAAGCAGTCCATTCCCTACTAGAATGGGTGCATTTTGCTGGGAGGTTTTCCATGACAAATTAATACATTTAATTTGCTACAGAAAAGGAGGCCTAACTATTGCTAGACCCCTAATTCGTGTGTCCTCTACAAAAGCTAATGGTGAGGCTTGCTTTACTCACAAATCTCCTATCTATTTGTTACTTGCCTTCGGGAATGGATTTTTATAAGTAATGATAAAATTTTGTTATAAACTTCAATCATGTACAAGATTTATAAGCAAACCTTGGGGAATGAGGCATATCTCCTCCACTTTAGTTTAGCTTCCCTTTACAACCAAGCCCAGAGCAACTAATTCCTAATTGCCCCTTGTTTGGCTAGTGCATCAACCATATTTGGAAATGGTTTTTCCCTTTATTTGGGTGTCGGTGGACTCTCTCATTAAGCATGTTCTCATCATCAACATATTCTTGGTCAAAAAAAAAGGAAGAACTATGTGGAAATGCACAAGGGCAGTATTCATTCGAACAATTTGAGAAGAAAGGAATGCAAAAATAAAGGAGCAAGAGAGAAGTAAGAAAGCAATAATAGAATGCATTACAATTAGGGTGGCTCCTTGGATCAAATCATTGGATGCCTTCTCATCTTTCAAAATAGATGATATAATTAGAAAGTGGAATGAAGTGGTGGGAACATCTTCAAGAAGGATTTTGACTAACAAAAATTGGGTGCCCCTAAAAGAGGTTTCATAAAGCTCAATTTTGATGGCAATAGCATGGAGAATCCAGGGCCTTAAGGAGTGGGAGGTGTATTTAGGAATGAAGACAATCATATTGTTGCTATGTTTTCAGGCCMATTTGGAGTATGAGGTTACCTAAATGCTGAGATGAAGGTGTTTTGGAGAGTGTACAGCAGGCAAGTACAAGAGATATGAACTCAAGTAGATTAATCACTAAGGAGACTCAAAGATGGTAATCATGTGGTTGTTGAATAATGAGAAAGCTATGTGGACTTATAGAAATGAAATCAAGAATTTTAAATGGCTGACCAGAAACATTGAGGCAAAAATCCAATGGGTATAAAGGTTTTCCAACTGCAATGGTTCATGCATTAGAAAAACAAGAAGTGGTTAGATATCAGTTATTTTGAGCTCAAGTGTAAATTAAATGAAAGGGGAGAGACAGTAGTGACTCTCCTCTATTAAGGATGTAAGTAAACTTTGTACGTTTTACAGTCTATGGTTAATAAAATTGATTATTACCTATCAAAAAAAAGTGTGTCCAACACTGTAACAGATAGAGCTCAAAAAATATCACAAAAATCAATGTTTTCAGGTTTATAATGGTGAGGTTACTCGGAATAAGATTGTTGCATAGACCACTTATTGACAGAATAAGTGAAAAATGCATTAACCTGTTCAGTAGATTGGAAGTTGAAATAATGGATTCAAATAATTAAGGCAGTAGAAGTACTCGTTATAAGATACAGAGAATTCTAATAGCAACATATTACAAAATCTGGAGGGAATGAAATAAAAGAATTCTTATTGGAAATTTTGACTTTTATGTAGAGACATATACCATAAACTTAAGGATGGTTGTTGTTGTGAAGATGTTTAATGTGGTGAAAACAATACCCTTCGGAGATGATCTTTGATTGTTAGGGTCATGAGGGTGATAAAGTAAAACCAACAAGTATAATATTTTCTATTCAGATTTTCTATATTTGTAACAACTTTCTTTTAATAAAAAATTCTTCTTTATCAGGAAGACATTAGACAAAGGTGAAAAAAATAACATCTTTTTCTTAATACATGACAATGCATAGATCATCTCCTGTACCACAGAAACAAACCAATTGCAATGCACAAGCGAAATACCTGTCCAACCTCTACAGCTTGCAACAACTTCTCCTCTGGAAGAAAATCACAGTAGCCCTACATAGAAATACCCCACAAATCAATGGAAACAACCTAGGAAAATAATTACTAATAACCTATCAAAAATAAATAAACAATAATGATCACAATCCAAATTTATTGTACTACAATGAGCAGGCAGAAAACAAATACCAAAGATTTTGAAAGATATAAATCAAGAGGCCAAAAGAAAATCGTTTTGTTATACAATTTTGTTCATTACAATATAAAACAGAGCTAATTATAATTTTGCAGGTATAAAGAATAAAGCTATTTAAATGAATCTACATAAAAGAAGATAGAAAAGTTAAGAGGCAAGAAAAGAAATAAGATAGGACTAAGTAATATGATGAAGAGATGTGAAAAAAGAAAAATAAAGGAAAGAATATGAAATCAAGGTAAACGCTTGTCTACGAACATTCCTCGTATGTGTGTATGTTGATAAATAGGTGTAAGGAATTTCATTTAGTCTGTATATAAAATATTGTATGGAAACTTTTTTTTGTAAATCTCCCTACATCCCCCTCATCAATTGAAATAGGCGAATTCCTTTAGTATCCATGAGACATTTTTGTCCAGTCTCCCTTTTTTGATAACATTTCTCATGTGTCAAATGGAATAGACTAATCCTTTTTGTATCCATGATCTCTCTATTCAACATAGAGTGAAACAGATCCATACAACCTCATACATTCTCAGTGAATCCAATGCTTCTACAATTTTTTTTGATCCCGTGAGTTTTAATACAAGCTTATGAATGTAAATTTTCAGTCCTGTTTGTAAATCTGGTAGGGATTAACTGCCCTAGGTTCTAGCCATGCAATTCAAGAGAGAAGACAACAAAGCAGAAGTATGGGATGTCTCAACTTATGCCCCAACAAAAAGAGTAGCTAAATGGGCTAACTTATTTAAGTAACATCCAGGAGAAAAGGAACAAACATCATCTGGAGGAAGCATGGATACGGGAAGGAAAATATGCTACATGCCACTGCTGTTCTTCACTATCAAAGTTGTACCCTTTGAAGTGCAGCAATGGAAGCAGAGAACTGTGAAACAGATTCCCAAAAGGTAATAGCAGCAGAAGCAATGTTCCCTTCAGGCTAGTACCATAGACTTGATGCCCTTTTTGAGCTGGGTGCTGAATACCCAAGAAAAACACAATGAAATGCCTTAAAGTCAATATTAGTATGATGAGGCAAAGACATGAGAAACATACACAAACAAAAATTTTAGGGGGAAGACCAATGATAGGATGTTTAGGATGAAGGACCTGATAGAGAATTTTGAAATTTAGGATTCAAGAAGGAAACCAGTTGATCCAGATACCTAGCAATTAACATGGCTTCAAAATAGGCCATGAGCCACCTATAAAATATGTCACTTCTTTCTCTCTACAGTACCTTTCTTTCGAATATAAGTGCAAGAAGCTTGATGCAAAATCCCATGAGAAAAAGAGTAACCACCAAGATGAGTTTGAAGGAACTTCTCTCATTATTAGACCAGAACATGTAACCTTTTTCATATCATGCCCAGCTTACATAGGTTATTCAAACTGCTGCCTTTAAAACACCAGTTTGACTGTCTGGGTCGAATGGTTCAAACCATGCCATGTCAAAACTGCACACACACACACACACATATATATATTTATATGTATATAAAGTTATAAACATATTTTATCAATAAATAATGTATAATTATATTCTACATGTAAACAAGTATTATTTTATATATTTTAAATTCCGCTTTTAATTTTTTATTTGTAAAAAAATAAAAAGAAATTGCAATTTGAGGAAAAAGGGGTTTTTTTTGAAAAGTTACCCAAAATCATTAAAAAAAAAAAGATCATCCTAGTTGGGCATTGAAGCATAAAGTTGTGGCCTCCGGAAGTTTGCATACACATTTAGTGTGCAACCCATGACCCAATCGCAAAGTTATGACCTCCAGAAGTTAGCATACACATTTAATGTGCAACCGGTGACCCAGTCACCGGGTCGAATGGGTTGAAGGTCCAACCGCCTAGGTCAAATGGTTTTTGACCAATTCCCTGGTTTTACTAGAACAGAATCTGGAATCATGGCTAGGTGATGGTTCAAATGATTCAACCGGCCTGATCAACGATAGGTTGAAAACATTTTTCCTAATCATAAAGGAGTACTAACCAAATGTAGACCTCTTGTCATTCACACAATCTGCCCAATCCACACCATTGAATGGTTCAAACTGTAGGTGAACATGACTATCTTTGAAGATGCCCCTACTAGAAATTTTCTTCAAAAAAGCACAATACATTTATTGTATCCAAATGAAATGTTTTAGGCTGATACATGTATTAATATATCACACTTCCAAAATATGAGATGTCAAGACTAGTCATGCATAGATATTGTATACATCCACCAACTTCTGGAATATACCCTTGTCATAAGGAGATTCCTCTAAAGGATCTATAAGAGTACCTACCAATTTAAGTCCAAGTTTTCCAGTATCTTCCAACAAATCTAGGATACATTTCCTTTGAGAAATAAAATTCCTTTGTTGGAACACCCAATACCTAAGATATATCCATAATTTTTTCAAGCCCCAAAATTTACTCTCGGTAGAGGGGTGGCCACCATAAATTTTATCAAAATTGAGCAAAAGAAACCTAAGAGGGGGAGAAACAAAAACCTTACCCCTCAAAAAATCTATATAGAGGACCACCGGCTCATATCATATCAAGGACTGTCCGGCAGAACCTAAAAATTAACAAACTTAAGTAAAGGAAGACTCCCTAAGGTGATAAAAGGTGGATAAGGACTGGACTGGCCAACCATTTCAGAGGATTGCAAGATTTGGTTAGAAAGGAGGTTTAAGTTGGAAGAGATCAAGGGGGCAATGTTTTCTATGGATAGGTCAAAAGCACCGGGGCCATAATTCATCATGGCATTCTATCAGGACTGTTGGGACATATTAAAAGATGACCTAAAGGAAGTTTTTGATGAATTTTTTGATAGAGGAGTAATAAATCCTGGTATGAATGCCACATTCATTGCATTGGTGCCAAAAAGGAGTGGAGTGGGCCATCCAAAGGACTTCAGACCCATAAGCTTGGTGAATAGACTGTATAAAGTCATAGCTAAGGTGTTATCTTCAAGGATAAAGAAAGTGCTCCCTTCCATCATTTCTCCCAACCAAGGGACTTTTGTTCAAAATAGACAAATAACAAATCAAGTTTTGATAGCAATTGAGTGCCTTAAAGAAAGGAAAAGAACTGGAAGAAAGGGCATAATATGCAAATTGTATCTGGAGAAAGCGTATGATATGGTGGATTGGTCCTTTCTGATGGAGATTTTGAGTCACTTTGGCTTTGGGGAGAGGTGGTGCAAATGGGTCTGGGTTGTATCCAAACATGTCATTACTCGGTGCTCGTAAATGGATCAATGGTTGATTTTTTCGAAGCAGAGCGTGGTATTAGACAAGGAGACCCCTTTCTCCCTTTATCTTCCCCCTCATTGCAGATGTTTTGAGTAGATTAATAACCAAAGCTGATACTAGACAACTACTAACAGGTTGGAGAGTGGGGAGGGATAGGGTGTCAGTTACCCATTTACAATTTGTTGATGGCACCCTATTGTTTTGTGAAGGGGACGATGTGACATGGATTAGGAACCTAAAGCAGATAGTGCAACTCTTTGCAAAATTATCCAATTTAAAAGTGAATTTCGAGAAGATTTGCATTGCAAGTGTAAGCATGGAGGATAGAGAGTTAGAAGTTTGTGCTGAAATTTTGGGGTGCAATGTTTCTCAATGGCCTCTAAGCTTCCTAGGATTAGCCTTAGGAGCCAACCCGAAGGACTCAATCTTTTGGAATCAATGTTTTAAAACGCAGAGGCATGACGCGAGGCGTCCCACTACCTAGAGGTGAGAGGCATAGTTCAGAACACAAGAGGCGTAAGCCTCCCAAACACAAGGAGGCGTAAGAGGATGGGGGTTAGGAGGAGGATGAAGAGGAAGGGGGGATCTCATTTTCACTTTATTTTTAATAAAAATCTTTTACATTAAGAAGAACAAAGATGCATAACATTAGTTAAAAGGGAGAATCTTGTCGAAGTGGAGGCGAGCGAGAGAAGCGAGCTTGTTGGAGCGGAGCAAGACACCCCTAATTCAAAAAAACAAATTGGGCTGCATCGAAAAGGGGGCGGGGGGTTTGGGGGTGAAGCCCCCCATCCGAAGGGGCAGGAGACAAACCACTTTCTTTCCCCTTATCTTCTCTTCCCTTCCCTTTCCTTTTCTCTTTTTTTCATCTCTTTCTTTTTCTTTCCCTTCCCTTTCTTTTCCTTTCCTTTTTTTTCTATCATTTTATATAAGATGTGCACGAGGCATACGCCTCTAGCACGACTCATGAAAAAAGCACTAGAGGCGTACACCTCTTGCACCTGAGGCATACGCCTCAAAGGTGTCAGCACCTTTGGCATACGCCTCAGGGCGTTTTGGGAGCGCCTCACCTGGAGGCGCACCTCTAGGCATATGCCTCCCACGCCTTTTAAAACATTATTTGAAATCCAGTCGAAGAAAAGGTGCCAAAGAAACTGGCTTGTTGGAAGAAGGGATACATTTCCCTAGGAGGTAGGATCACCCTAATAAAGTCGACCCTAGAAAACCTCCCTATGTATAATATGTCAGTCTTTAAGATGCCAAAGGGAGTAAGCAAGAGCATTGAGAAATTAATAAGGGATTTCTTATGGGAGTCGGGAGAAGAAAAAATAGATCATAAGGTGTGCTGGGAGGTAGTAAGTAGCGATAAAAAGTATGGGTGTCTTGGAATAAGAAACATCCAAAAAAGAAATTTATCTCTACTAGGGAAGTGGTTATGGAGAATGCCTAAAGAAAGAGAGAAACTATGGGCAAGGGTGGTGGCGAGCATACACGGGCTTTTGGACAATGGATGGGACGCTGGTCCACTACATCGAGCTACTAGAGCTTCCCCTTGCAAAGCCATACAAGTGATTCTACCTTGTTTCTTGCCTCTTGTAAGG